TCCCGCGTCTCCGCTGCGCCCCAGGTCCCGCCGGCCACAGGCGGGCACGACCCGGAGGAGTTGCCTGGGCGGCAGAGGAGGCTGGAGAAGGCTCTGGGTCCCAGAGCCCGAGGGGTCAGGACGCGGGGGGTGGACACGACAGAGAAGCGGCCCGGGGACGCGGGGGGGTGGACACGACAGAGAAGCGGCCCGGGCCGCAGTGCAGGCGGCAGGGACCTGAGTGCACGCGCCGAGGTGCGGGTCACGGACGAGCCAGCCGGAGCTCGGGAGGGCAGCCGGCCTCGGGCTCCCCTCCACGCTGTGGGCTTAAAGCTCATCTGGACCCCCTCGATGTCCCTTCCTGTCGCTGCTCGTCACTCCTGGGCGCCCGGCCCACCTTTGGTCCTGTGGAGACTGGGGGGAGGCGCAGGGCCCCCCGCCACCAGGCACAGTGCCACGTCCCGTTTACTTTCTCCTGGCTGGTTACATTTTCAAACCATCGAAAGATTCATTGGTTGCCAGTGGATGTCAATTTTGAAAGCTGGGTAGAGTCCCAGCATGACAGCTTGATTCCTGAGCCCCAGTGGCCTTACCCGGATTCAGGGGCAGCGGAGAGGGGCCCTGGGCCCCTAGGCCTGGCTTCTGGTCCCAGCAACGCAGCTCCTACCCATCCGAAAGCCAGCCCCAGCCCGCTCTGCCCTGGGGCGGCGAGTTCCGGGCGCCCAGGATATGCGGTTTCATTCTTTTTGGTCATCTCCAGACACCTGCAACAAACAACGAAAAGATCACCAACGACCACCAAAGCTGGGGCTCGTCTGGCAGCCCAGGCGTAGCTTTGGAGCCTCGTTCTAGGGAAAGAAGAGAGGACGCCTGCCGTCCCGTGTCCCTGAATTCCGCCCTAAAGCCCCTTCAGTTGTCCCTCCTGACTCGCTTTGTCTTCTTTCTTGGCTACAGCAGCAGAAAGCTCTCTGCTCCCCTCAGGCAGAGTTTTAAAAGCACTACCTCAGGACGCCAAAGGTCCTGCAGAAGGGCGTTGGAAACGGGGAGCGGCCGCGGAGCCTGGAAGCTGCTGGCTCGCTGCTCCGGCCTGCTTCAAATTGGCTCAGAAGACGTGGAATTAGTAGGCAAAGCTGCCTCCTGCTCCTCTTACCTGCACAGGAGAGATCGGTTCCTGGCAGGCCGGGGCAGTGTCATCGATACAGCTGGTGTCATCGTTACCTTCCACTAACAGATCACTCGACACCCGTGGCCCAGGCAGGGCTGTGCCTGAGCACTGTCCCGTGGAGCCGGAGGCTTTGACCCTCCCCATTGTCCCAGGGGAAGCCAGATACAGGTGCCGCCTTGATGCGGTGCTTGGTGACCCAGCGGGAGGACTAGATTGTTCCTGGCCCTGCCTCCCCTGTAGGGTCCCGGCTGCCTCTCGGCTTCCTGCTGCCTGGCCCCTGTCGCTGTCCTGGGCAGCGATGAGTCTGTCGCTTGCTGGGAGCTGAGGCAGAGTGATGCTGCTGCGTGGAGAAGGGGCTCCCAGAGCGGCCCTGGAGTGAGGAGCCGGGGTGTCCCGCCTGCCCGCCTGCCCTGGCGTGGGCATCCAGGTGGCACCATGCTGCAGCAGATCCTGCACGACATGTACATCGACCCCGAGCTCCTCTCCGAGCTCAGCGATGTGCAGAAGCACATCCTCTTTTACAAGATGCGGGAGGAGCAGCTGAGGCGCTGGCGGGAGCGGGAGGCTTGGGACGCCCTGGCCCAGGCGGAGGGCCTCAGGCCCACGAAGGTCAAGCGAGGTAAGTGCCGGGGAGTTACCCAGGGCTCATTACTGATGCGGGGCTAGGTTCTTCTTTAAAATGGGCGCTGGTGTGGTGCGGGGTTGGACCTTGCAATTCTTGTTCTGTGAGCGTTTGGTCCCATTAGCACCGGCCTTTATTTTTTGACCAGGTCTGTGGGGCTCCAAGGCTGCAGACGGGGCTACCCAGGGACGGTGATGGTGTTGGGGAAAGGGGACCTGCTTTGTCCTGTTCTGGGAGGCTCACGTTCCGGGAGATCCCCACTGGGACCTCAGATTGTCTGACCGCCTGGTGAAGACGAAGCATAATCCTGACCCCCATCGGTGGTGCTGGGTCAGGGGCCAGGGGCACCCAAGCTGTGCAGCTGCTCCCTTCCTGTGTGGGCCGCACGGTGGTTCTCAGCCAGGGCCAGTCCTGGTGTGAGAAGACACTCCAAGGGCCCAGCCTACATTTCGGGTGGTTTACCTGCTGTCATGCGCTGCCGAGCTCAGGGACTGCTGCCCCGGTGAATGAAGGCGTCCTGGAGCAGGCACGCTGCGAGGCATGGGCTGGACTCAGGGTCCTCGGGGGTGGCCCTCTCTGCACGCTGCCTTTAGAGTGTGTGGAACCCATCCATCTCTCTGTTCACTCCCCACAAGCTTCCTCCGGCCCCCGTCTGTTCTCCAGAGTGAAGTGCAGACTTGATCTGTTTAAAGTTTTCAGTCCGGGACAAGGTCCTGCTTCTGTTCTGGGCATGCTGGCCCCTTGGGCACTGAGCTCCTGCTCTCCACACAAGGCTCCCTGGAGAGTTCCTGCTGTGTGCTACAGGTCACGCGCACCCGTCTGGACAGCTCGCTCCAGCCTCTGTCTGCACGAGTAGTTCTTCCTGTTGGAATGTCCCCCTGCCTTCATTCTCCTGACAGACTCTTTCAGGACTGGTCCCCTCCCCTAGAGTCTTTTGGGGATGCTCCTGGCACAGGGAAGGACTTACTTCTCAGCAGCTGCTTGGCATGTGGACCCACCCCTGCCCTAGCACTTGCCACATTGCCACTGTCATTCGTCATCTGCTTGCTTGGCTCCCCGGGGGACTCAAAGCCCCTGCAGTGTGAGGCCTTAGTCCATTGCCCTCCATCCCTGGCTGAGCACAGAGCTGGAACAGACTGTTAAATCCTAGTTCTGAACAAGACACAGCAGGACCCAAGGGGCAGAACTATGACTTGGCTGCGCGTGGCTGGTGCCAAGGCTGGGCCTATGGGCCACGCTGCGCTGGTAGCTGCATCGCTAGCTGGTAAACACGACAGGACAGGCACCTTTTCCAGGCCTACCCGGCCCGGCCCTGGGGCCTCGCATCGGCTGTGTGGAGTCTCTTCTGGGAGGAAGACAGATGCCTGAAAATTAAACTGCAAAAATATTTTTACTACGATTTGTCACACGTTGACATCTGCATTTTCATGTATAAATTATACATTAACTCATTTGGGTTTCTGGTGCAGACGACTCTTTTCCGGATAATTAATTTTCTGATTTATAAAGAATGGAAAATAGGAGGAAACACACTGAGGAATGTGTGTGCGCCAGGTCAGGATCCCACGCAAATCCCAACTCTCTGCTTCAGTCCTGCCCATGGAACTGTCTGGGCAGATAAGGGGACACTGGGGGCTGGCCGTACCCCCCAGAGGCTGTGCAGCTTCTTGCTGCAGGGTCCAGGGTGCACCGTGCCGGCTTCCTGTCCTCCCGTCAGGCCAAGGTTTCAACAGCCCCCCACCTCGTCAGTGAACCTCCCATTTACCAGGTGCCTGCCCCCACTGAATGCTCCCAGAGCCCTGTGACCCCATTTCAGATGAAGCCGTGCTCACAGAAGGGGCACAATCCATCCAGTCATCTAGAGACTGAGAAATGGAGTTGGGTCCAGAAATGACCTTGGGTCCAGTGATTGATGCTTGTCTGTTCATTCACTTTTGAGTTATGACTTAGGTTCAGCAGAGGACCTGCGCCCTCATCCACTTCTTCATTTCCCCATGCCCTCTCTCCAACATTACCAGGGGCTCACTTTGGTCGGCTGGACAGAGCTTGGCAGGTCCCAGGGGCACAGCTGACTGGAATGCAGGGCGCGAGGCTGGGGGCAAAGCAGCCACCCGGTGGCTCAGGGCAGGAGAGCGTGGGGACAGGCTCCGTTGGCTGGATACTTCCTCTTCCTGACTTTCATAGGCGCCCCTCCCCATCAAGTCTGTCCTGAAGGAAGCCTCTGCTGTGCCCCATGGAGCTGTGTGCCACGCCTGGGGATCCCTGAGCACAACTTAATCCTGGTCAACCTGGAAGGATGCTTCGCCTCCTCCTGCCCACTGCCCCAGTCCTGCTTGTCCCCTAAGGCTTCCACCCCACCCTCTCTTTTCTGGGGACATTTCCCAGCTCCCAGCAGGCCTCACCTCGCTGTCTCTAGGGCTCAGGTGCTGAGAGTAGGGCAGGGCAAGGTGTACCCTGTGCTGTGAATCTCTGGCTCAGTTGTGCCTGGAGAGGGTAGGAGCAAACCCTGGTGATGTGGGTCATCTAGTTTACAGATCCTGGAGCACACATTTGGGGGCCTCACAGACATAAGCTGGGGTGAAAGGTGACAGTTATGACTGGATGCATCACTCCCCTGAGGACACAGGCCTGTCTTTTTTGTTTTCACTTTATATTTTGGTGAGAATCTTTTGGTGTTCTGCCCATGTGGAAGACACACATCTTTAGCTTAGGTGCTCTCTCGGCTGCCAGCGCGTTTGCTGTCTTGTCACAGTTCTGACAACATTTGATGTTCAACAGGAATCGGTGTCATTAGGTTGAGACTGGGAAGATGTATAGCATTATGTTCCTTCTAGATGCGAGCCAGGCCCCCAGCACTGTTACGGCCTTTGCCATCTCTTTCCCTCCCGGCGCTCTTTCGCCCGCACAGGAACCCACACCTCGTGTTAGGAGCTGCAGCTTTCATGACCTCCGACCCCTCTGTGCTTGCCCAGTTATCCCAGTGTCCTGGGGCTGAGCTGGGGGTTGCCTGGGACACAGGACTCAGGACACATGTGTTTGATCTGCTGTCGTGACCCAAGAAGCTTCCCCACCTGGCCTGTCCAGCCTTCATGACCGGCAGTTTCTGTGGGTGTCAGGTTCTTCCGAGACCACCTCCGTATCAGTCCAGAGTCCTTTGCCTGGGAACCAGACGCCTTCCCCCTCCCCACACTTACTCCTTTAAGGTCCGACCACGGCCGCACTGTGGCCCAGCCTGCGCCCAGGGAGCGGCCGGCTTACTGCCCTCTGCGCCTCGTGCTCACGCGGCCAGCCGGTGCGCATCTCCGGTGCCTCGGTGCTGCCCCCGTCCCGCCCTTGCGCCACCCTGTGGAGTGCTCTCCATGCAGCTGGTCCCAGACCCACTGCCTCCATTCCTCACAGCTGGGCCCAGAGGTGGCTCCCTCCTCCTGGGCTCCCCAGGCTCTGCTGGCTAAGCCTGTGCCGCGTCCAGAGCAGCCCTGACCTGGGCCTAGGAAGACGCCTCCTTAGTGTCCCCTCGGTGTTGAAGCATTAAGCTACTCCTGCTGCACACTTGCCCCGGCTCTGGGGCCTCGTGTGGGCCTGGTCTGTGCCCTAATGAGGCCTTTGGACGTGGTCCTTCTAGCTGCGCATCTGTCTACTGTCATCAGTAACCGCGGCAGCCTCGCCTGGGGCCCCGAGCCCTCTGTCCTAGCATGGCAGCCCTGCCCTACTCGTCTGCAGACATGCCTAATGCAGCCATGTTCTTAGTGGTCCCCTGCCTCACACTTGCACCCTCACAGCCCTTTCTCTGCACAGCCGCCCAAGTGGCTTTTTAACATGCTGGTTAGCTCCTGCCTCTCCCTTCCTCAGTGGCTTCCATTGCACTCAGAGAAAATAAAAGTGCTTTCGCTGGCCTCTGCCCACTCTCTAACCCGATTTCCACCCAGGTGCTTTCCTCTGCTCCTTCCCAAACCCTCACGAGGCTAGTTCCACCCATCGTTCATCTCTCAGTTACACGTCAAATTTTTCACTGACCACTGTCCCAATGAGCCCCATCTCGACCTCTTTCACAACACCCTGCCCCATTTTCTTCATAGCTCTCACCACATCTTGTTCCAGAGCACTGTCGGCACCCCAAAAGGAAAGCCTGTCTCCATGAACCAGCCACCCCCC